GTGGCTGTGGCTACAATGTAGCTTGCCATCACCAGTGTGTGAATGTGTGTGTGAATGGGTGGATGACTGAATGTGTAAAGTGCTTTAGGGTTCTTAGGGACTCTTAAAGCACCATTTATCATTTACTGCGGGTCCGTACTTGTGAGGACTAAGGTGTTTTAAATGGAAAACATAAGTGTTGCATGGAGTAGTAACGTTGTAGTGGTCAACACTAGCTTGTTTGTAGCTGGTGACACAAATCCCCTTTGGGGTTGTGTTACAAAGGGTAACCGTGGCCACATACCCTCCGTAGCGGCTCCTTGTGGCAAGGGAGCAGCGAAAAGCAGCCAAGTGGGAATGTAGAATAATAATCTTCTAGGATTTGGCTCCGAGTGCCTCTTTTCACCTTGAAAGCCTACTAGGAATAACCCTTGAAGCTCTTCTCTGAACTGAGTGGTTTCTGTCATATTGCAGGGTTGGTTATAGAACATCCCAGATTTTCCATCAGAAGAGAGCGAGGTTGGTCTCTCCCTATGAGCTGCCCATTGGGGGGGGGGGGAAGAAAAAAAAGAAGAAACTACTCAAATGGTCATCAAATTCTTTATTGATTTATAATGAGGTGTCAAAACTCGTCATTAAGGGGAGAGGAGAGGTCATCGAATATCATATTTCAGTCAAAACCTGTTTTACCACTCCAATAAATACTTTATTTATGATATGGGCTACATTTTGCTGCACACAACAGTGTTTCATTTGCGTGCCAGAAACCCTCACGCCCACTTTCTATTTGGGTCAATGGGACAGTTATATGGTACTCCTGTGATTCTGTTTTCTAGGACCAGCAAAGCTCAAGTCTGTTGGCTTACAATGTTACATCACAGGTGACGAATTATGCATGTAGAGCCAACACCGAGGGAGCAGCAGCAGGTAAAATATAAAAATGCTCTCCTTTTAAATATTTTTATCTGAATGTTTTACCTCTTTCTGTAAATATAGGTAATTTATCCACCTGAAATAAACACACAAGCACATGTCTCGTGTGAACAAGCTTATTACAGCACTGGAATGATGTATGTACAAATGAATAAATAAATAATTAGAAGAGATATCACTCCACCCAGCAACATACTGCTATCAATCAGCAATATGTAAAATCTGGGAATTTTTCTCCCTTCTGACATCAAATAAGAAATGACTCTTGAAACCCTAATTGATAGAAATCTATTATAGTTATAGAAAACATCCATCCATGTACAGCCTTATATTTCTGTGTCTTCAAGGCATTGAGGAGGGGTGGAGTGTATTCAAGTGGACAGCTGGCCAGGTGCCTCTGTGATGATCTGACAATAACTGCTGGTTTCAAGCACTATTATTTCACTTTGCAGGGTGGTTGCATTTGCTGTTACATATCAGGCAGTGTCAAAGCTGTAGTGTTTGCCCATTTATTCTGTGATTTTATGCTGTAATAGCTTTTAAAACACACAACACTGTATACTGATTTTTCCAAAACACATTAAAAATGTCACGGTATGATATTGCACTTAAAGTTGTTTATTCCCAATTTTTTGATCATGTTTTTGTTGACCAGCTAGAGCTGACCCACGAGCCTTGGACAATACAGCGTACAGCCAGGACTGATCTCTACAGCGATCAGCAATAACTTTATGTCTTTTGAGAAACTTGAGACTATGTTAGGCATACCTTCAAAGTATTTTTTAAAAGTATCTTCAACTGTGAAATTTTATACTGGCTGGGCCGTCTAATGACATGAATCTTCCCTCTCAATCTACCTTAGAAGATTTCTTTATGACACAAATTATACACAAAGAATCATTTCACAAAGTAATGCATGGTGAACAGATCTGACCAATGATTTACCCGAGAAAGAAGAGTTATAAGGAAGTTATTCTGGTGAATCAGAAGTTTATTCGACAATAAATGTAATTGTCTGAATGGATCTCAGCTTCATTATATGTGGGAATGCATCCTGATACTCTTGTTCTTGGTAGAGAGTCTTGTATACATGTAATCAGATCACTGGTGAAGAGGTGCCTCTTCCTAATCCTGAATTATGCTTACTGAATATTTACCCAGATGGGTTTGTGATCTCTAAAATGCCAGGTCTTTACTCAGTTTCTGCTTTATGGAAACCGAACAGTTCACAGCTCCCTCACAGAAGAAAAACAACCTGTGCAATTTTACAATGACTTACAGGAACGACTTATCATTTTGCTTTGGGAAAGATAAGCTGCCTGACAAAAAAGTATGTTTTTCACAAAAAAAGCATTACAAGTTTTGAGGTATTAGGAACACTTTCTGAAGCTTACTGAAGAATAATATTTTAGCAGATGATCCCAAGTTTCCAATTTTCCACCTAAACAACAATAACAATCCGATCACTGTATGCTTATCACCTAGCTATACTCTACATATAAAACTGCCTCTGCCTTTTATTTTCAAAACAATTTGATCATTAAATGAAGTATTAAAAAGTCAAACATGATACTGACATGTTGAACTGCCAGCATGAAGACAAATGCATGTTTGATAAAGAGAAGGGATCGAAACACAAACAGACAGACGAGGCACAGAAAAAGGAGAAAGCTCCATTTCTGGGGTGCTTGCTCTCTTCCTGCAGATGTACGAGGTGCGACTGCACTGACTTTTCCTGAGGCTAAGACAGTTGTTTCTACAGTAACACTTCCCCTCCGATCTCTCAGTCGGTGGAGACGTACGGTGGCTCACGAGGCCGATGAGCCTCAGAGAAAACTGTGGCCCATTACACTCTGTGCCACACATTTTGAGTTTAAGTCATTTAGATTGGACAAAGTACATCACCGCATCTGACTATCATTTATCATCCACAACACAATGAGAAATCAATACAAAGAAAAACAATGGCAGCGATTAGTACCCGACTCAGTTGTAACCCTAATGAAATGCATTCAGCATGGAAATTGGGATTCGGGCAGAAAAAGAGAAACCCATGTGATATTTATATTCCCTCTGCATATGTACAAGGCTAACCCCCCATAGGCTCTTTTTGATGGGATCGAAAACAAAAGATTAATGACCACTGCAGAAAGTCAGTCTTCCACTATGCAATTAATAAGCCATGAAAGACATTAGTAAATTTAATCCATTATCTGTTGTCGCCTAAACATCCTTGAAAGATGCGGGCTAAACAAACAGACCAACGGGGTCTTGAGAGAAAGTCTTCTGCTACCTGCCAATGATGGCGTTTCATCTGAGTGGGCAGAAATTGCTTAAGTAACTATTAAAACAAGAACATGCCTGGGGCTGTCAATTGCGCGGTTGAAAACACTTGTATTAGCACAGATTATTGTGGAAATGTAAAACATGTCTGTACTGCACACCATGCACACACACAAACACACAAAATGTACATTTTATCAAGTCTAGATACATGCACAGCCCTTGCTTTGCAAATGGAGAATTGAAAAGCACTTAGCTTAGCCGATATAACTCACTAACACTGCATAAACTGCATGTTGTTCTCTCAGGTTCTAACAGGTCCAACAAGAAAATAATCAGTTTTAAATAGAAAATATTTTTACTAAATACTTTTAGTTTGAAACCTGCAGAGAGCTTATCTGAATAATCCATGTATTGTAGTATGAACGTTAACCACAGCAGTCAGTGCCCTTGAGAAAGTAGGTGAGCCTCGTGGCCCGTAATGTTTTAGCACTGCGGCATGTGTAATTATTAACTAATTATTGACTAATTTCAGGTCTGGGTACAGACTCAAATGGGGGAGTGTTTGCTTCAATTCTTGATTACTCCTGCAAATACGCCGATATAAAAGACACCAAATATAAATGTAAACGGACACAGCGTAAAATGAGAAATTATTTTATGAGCAGCAATAGCATTTCAGTAATTACCTGCAGTTCTCCAAGGTAGGGACTTCTCAGATGAGCTGTGGGGGAGAAAACAAGAAAAAACAAAAACAACAGATGAAAATGTGAATATATGCACTACGAACCAGAGACACCACAGTGGAAGATATGAGTGACATCATCTGGATGAGACACCTTGGAGCCTCATCTACTTGTGCCTTTTACAACAAGATTAGAGATGGTAATCAGTGCTTTTGAGATAAAACAGCTAGAGGTTCAAAGGATGCTGCCAAAGTGGAGCTGTTTGCATCTCAGATGAAATCTAAATGAGTCAGCTAGCATTTTGTTTGCACACTGCCATAAGAAAGAAAAAAAAATATATATATATACATACATATACAGGACTGGCAGCTGTTTTTCCACATTCATTTCATTCATTTAGTAAATATGCTAAGTCAATGGACGAAGGATGGAATATAACCTGAAGGGAGCTGAAGCAGCACAGACACATGAGAAACTCTCTCCGAGTAAATCAAAAAGTAATCACATTGTATATTCACACCCTCTGTCTTTAAGCTCAATGTCCTGACATGCTGACATAATCCTGACATGAATACCAGTATTTATTCCAGTGGAGCCTGTATCCCACAGAGGTAGTCACCCTCCAGAGAGTAATGCAGGGGAATAATGATCCAGCCAGAGAGAAATCACAGTTTGGGTCCATTATTTGGGAATAACACAGACCGTACCAAGCAACAAAATCAGAAAGAATCCAGTGACAGTGTGTGGTAATATAAATGGTCTTATACCAATCAACTGCACTGAGCGTTTTTGGCATGAAAGGCATGACACAAGCTTCTAGTACAGTTATCTTTAGTAGTAAACCCATTTGTCCTAGATGCGTCTGATGTTTGTAGGCTTTACTGTATATAGGAGGCCTTAATTTTCCTAAATTTCAATTTGTTTTCTTTTCCAGGTAGACAGATGACAGAAAGCCTTTTTTCAAAAAATTATTATAATATATTTTGTTTATCCCAAGACTTAAAACAAAGGCTACTCAGTTTTAACTACTTAACTCTATTTAAAGAAAGAGGCCAGTTACAGTTCAGTGCAAATCCTCGATCATAATCCTAAATCCTAACCTAGAGTTCTTATTACAATGCTGAAACTACAACATGATCTGAAACAAACTGAAAGCTAAATTATAGCAGGTAATTTTTTGTTTTAGAAAACTTCAAATAACCAAAGTGTGGTTACAAAGCTAACTAAAATGTAAGAGACAATTCAAATAACATTGTAGCGAATGGAATGGACTCAAATGAATACAGCTAAGAAGAAAGAGCAGTGTGGAACAGATGAGCAAGTTATCAGGTACTAAATAGGACTCTAAACTTATTATTTTAAGTATGTGTGAACATCAAATCACTGATCAAAGGTAAAAACCACTCACTCTCCTGTTCCAGAGTTAGTTATTACAAGAAACAGAGGCCAAGCAGGAGACCTCGGAGCAGTGCATCCACCCCGTTCTTTTTCAGATCTTCCATTTGCCAATCATTAATATCAAGCAAAGTGTTGCCGCTATTTCTTCCCAGTTAAGGTGACACTAAATGAGCTTTAAGAAGCACTTTCTTAGAATTTTAATGAGCATGCAGGCAATTAAAAGAGGAAGTTGGGCGAGCTGAGCTTCACTGAAGCATGGGAGATAAAGCAGAAGAATGGCTACCGTAACGATTATGCGCCACCAGTGCTGCATGCTGACCGGCAGGCAGAGCGAAGGCGCTGCTAAGTGAGAGTAAAAGTGCCAATGGTGATACACAACAGGCCTAACTGTGACATGACACTTTATTTCCCATCAGTCCTTTTGGCTATTGAAAGGCTGGCTGGGTGTGGAGGTTGCATCTTCTAGTTAAGTTTGCCAGAGGTGAAGTTTGATGGCCACCCCCTGTCTGCTTGTACAAATGAAGGCGGAGGCCAGCTCTGGAGGTGTCGCGAAATGTAATGACTCCAATCCGAACCCCTCAAGTGTGTTGTCACCTCTGCTGTTGTCCTGCTGTGCTATTGAGCCAATCAGTGTGACCTCAACGCTCGAGGCTAATCTCCATTCACTCGCAAATCCCGAGCCACAACCATATCATTCGTCTTCTTACTTGAAAGGAAAAAAAAAAAAAAGAAAGGTGTGAAAAGCAATGTTGTATGTTTTCTTTATAGGGTCCTAGGTGGTTTCAGTCTCTCAGTCTGATGTGTTTATATTTACATGTACATATACAGGCTTTAAAACATCATGCATTAGTCTTATGCTAACATAAGACTATCTACAGCAGTAGATTTCAGGTGAAGATGAGTTGTAGGGCATCCATGATGGTGGGGGGAAAAAGGCACCCAGTCAAAAGAAAATGCAAGAGACTGAAAACAAATCAGAAAAAAAAAAGCCCTGCACACTTAACTCGCAGAAAATTTAATTTAATGCTTTTTCAAACAGACATCACAAAGCTCAACCAAAACACTGATTGTGATCTGCATGATGAGAGCAGGGCTGGATGATTAGAGGCAAATATTTAGGTGGGACTTTGCCAACAGACACTGGGAATAAATTAAGTTTAAATAATAAAAAGCATCCTAAACTGCAGACTTGGCTGTTTGCTAATAACATTGTTTCAAACTTCATTCAAACTCAATTAACTTGTTCAGAGGGTCAGACTACGGTGGCTAAATTTTAAGAATGTGCCCATACCAGGCATTTCTGCTTCTATCCATGTACCTTGTCTCACATTCAAATACTCTTGCAACTCTTTCCTACTGGAATAAATGGAAGATGCAAATCCTGATGTTTGGTAACAGAAAAGAAGGAAAAGCGGGAGGAAGGCTGGATCAGTCCTGCAGACAGATACATATTTTGCTGACTTTAGTTACCATATTTATGTGAACTTGTATCTTTTGTATTTTGTTAACATTTAGGGTTGCATTTTCTCTCTGTGCCTACACTTGTTCCCTCTGGATGCTCCACTTTCTGCCCACAGACTAAGCCAGCATTCCTTTTACCTTAATACAAAGGAAGTTGGACACTGGAACTGGTAGTGATGTCATACCCAACTTGACCATAATTCAGTAGCAGTCAGAAAAAAAGGCTTTGTTTTCTCTCCATATCATGGTAAACAAATTTTGCCATCAGTAGCAATACTTGGGTATGAACACAATGTACAGGTTAACTAGTGAGACATGCACAATAGTTTTACAGTCTTAAAACCATTTTTGTTGCAGCTGCCATCTCGAATTGCAAAATCGAGGTTGGTGTGGCTACTCAGACTTCACCGAGCGGAAAGCCTGACACCACTTCAAATGGAAGGCAGCAGAAAAACAAACTTTTGAGTTTGACTAGTAATTCTGAATTGTACATGGGTGTGAATGTGAATCTTTTGTTTGTGTTAGGCCTGTGATTGACTGGTAAACCACCCAAAGATGTACTTCTTGCTCAAATTTGGCTGGGATAGCCTCTAGCGCCAGATGCCCCTGCTTTATTTAAGCATTTTCTTTTTTTTAATCGATGGATGTTCTGTCGTGCTTGGCTCAGGTATGGCAACAAAATGTTGAGACAAACATGTAGATAGCACTAACAAAATGCAGCTGATGGATCCAAGCAATCCAGGTGGTGCTTGCATTTTTTTAAGAGCACAGGCATGTCAACATAAAGAGATCTCTGACAGTTTGGTTCAGAGAGCATATCAACCCAAAGACACTGCATACTGAACAGTTTGCAACAAATGCATGTTCCATTACATGCACAACACAGAATATGCCGCTAAAAGATAAAATGAGTGAATGGAAGGCCAGTAAAATGTCATAGTTTGTGGGCAAGAGAAGTGCAAACAGCAGCATTAGCAATGTGAAAAAAAGAAAGATTTCTAAAGCGGTAAAGAGGTATCCGAGTGGTATCTGAGGCAAGATAAGTAGGTGACTAATAGCTATGAAGACAGAAACAGCATACTACTATCGTAGCAAATACACGGAAAGCCTTAAGTCCCAAGCTGACAGTCCTAACAACCGAGCTATAGGGCAAGCCTCATTAAAATCAAACCACAGCAACAACCTGTGTCTGCCAATTCAGTCGAGTTTTTTCTTGTGATGCTTTTTAAGTGACACTTAGCCTACAACGAGACGACTGCATGTCCAACATTGCCTGGGATTTTGGTATTTGGCTCATTTAATCCACCAACTACTCTGAAAAACACTTTGTTTTGCAAGCCAAATGTCACTTATGGACCAGTGGATCAAGACAATGAGCTGAAAGCTACATAAAACAGATTTGGGTGATATTTTCATTGTGTCTAGCACACACAAGATTTGATATTTTAGGGAATAATTAGGTTGAGTAAACAAAGACTGCTCTGTCCTTAAACTTTATTCCCAAAATTAATCTTGATATATGAATCATTTTATAAATATTCCCTTGTGTGGACGAATAAAGAACAACCATAGTTTGGTTGGACTCATTAAAACTGTGCTCCAAACAACATTTTTCTGAAAGAGGAAATTAAAGTAATTACTGGGGCTGTGTATAATTCAGAGAGCTGTTGTCCACACCTCTTTGGCAGCACTTAAAGCTGCTGTATATCTGCACCCCTCTAAAAAGGGACAAAGGGGAAATGGACACTTACTGAGCAGTGCTGGTAGGTGAGTGCTTTTTAGAGTTATGCAGGCTAGAGTGCAAGAATGCATTATCTAAGGGCATAGGGCTTATTATCAGAAAGCCAGAAAAGTTCAGAGAGCCATTAAAGCTACTTTTGAAACAAAGTGTCATGTATCCAGATATATCCCAATTGTGTTACGGCCCATTTGAGAGTGAATGTAGCAACATGCCATCAGAATTTATATTCACTGACCACTTGTGAAGAAAATAGCTCGCCCCCCACTCATAAAAAGCACTATACAGAAGGATGTAGTATGTAAGAGATTTAAGCTATTAGATAAACATAGATAAGGGTAGGGTGGAACCTTACACTAGAGCTACAACTCCTGTCATCCTTACATGCCCATCTAGAGGGCATAGTATGGTGCAAGATGTTTAAGGAGAGGCAGCAGCAGCTCTGGTGTTTCATGCATCTAGATGTATCAGAAGCTTGAAGAACCACCTGTGGCAGCAATAATTAGAAGTAGTTGTTTCTTTTTGGTTATATGATGAAGATTAAAAAAAAAAGTAAAAATACATGTGTGTTTACAGGAGTACAGTGCAACAAAAAGATGACTGTACCTTAGCTCTGACCACATGATCCAAACAACATAATGAGTAAATAGCACTTTTCTGTCATTTCTGATCACTCAGGCCACTTTGACACTATTCGTGCAGGACTTTTAGCATTTCTCCTCGGCACACACGCTCATTAGTTGGAATTTGGGGTTCAATGTGTTGCCTAAATACACACTTGTAGGAGCCGGGAATCTAACCACCGATCTTTCAAGTGCAAAGACAGTTTACATAATTTGTGATCTCATCATTATTTTTATAGCGGCACTCAGGAATCAAACCTTACAAAGAGACATAATACTTAGGACTAAACCAGACAGAGTACAGCTTGGTTAACTGCAAGTAAAATACTCGTAGTATAGCAGTATGCCGTTTCAGTAAACCAGACATTCAAAGAAAATGAAAGACACAAATAACTCCCATCATAATGCTCACAAATTCTCTTACTCTCATTTCAGCTCAAGATACTAAAAGTGCAACTATAACAGGATTCATGTTTACGATGCATGAGCTGTTACCATTGTCACGGAAACCTCGGTACAAATCAATTTTGAAGTGCTTCATTTTTAGTTTTAATTTAAAAAAACAAAAACAAAACTCGCCATCAAAAACAGAACATTAAAAAACAAACAGTAATACAACTAATTATCAAGCGTTTACACCAATTATTGTTTCTCTCAAACAGGAATTTAGTCATAGTCCTGTGTTTGTGACAGTAACATTTACAGTTACGTGACGTGGCAAAGCCCTAAAAACAATAATAAACATACTGTACAAGTATTTTGGTTTGTGCATTTGCAACTGTTACTGCTCATTGCCTTTATTGTTTCTGTCGCTGCAGAAGGTTTGTTGTTTACATATGACAGAAGAGGACTATGGATGCATTTTACAGCAGAAGACAATAAGACTGCTGTTAAAACTTCGTTGCAGCTGCCTTGTGAGGCTGTTGAGATATTTCAACGTTATATTGAGCCTTACAAATGAACCTGACATGTGTGAGCCACAGCAGACAGGACAGAATGTGCGGTCACTGAGGTGTGATGATCAGGCAACCTAGTGTCTTTGCTGATGAAGTGGGAACGCGCTCACAGAGCCAAGTCACTGACAGCAATGCGTCGCTGAGAAAACAACACCTCACGATCATGCGTGCTCACACATATAAATGCATACATACATACATACGCATGCACATGCAAGGAGTGATTCTGTTCATCTCAGATTAAAGCACAAGACGGAGAAATATTTTAGATTCATAGTCCAATCACTGAGCATCATTGAGCATACTGGGATGCTCCATCACAATGCTATAATGCCATAAGGTTATACCACAGAGTATGGCCACTGCTGTGAAGGATAGAAAAGCCATGTGTTGGACTTCTCCTGTGTGTGTGTGTGTGTGTGTCTGTGTGTGTGTGTGTGTTGTGTGTGTGTGTGTGTGTTGGTGTGTGTGTGTGTGTGTGTGTGTCTCTCCTCATTACCTGCTGCTACCAGCGCCTGGTGACTCAGCTCCGAGTCTGCATCTTTCCAGCTGATTGGCCACAATCTGCCTCTCCACTTCCAGCTCCCTGGTTAGCCGCTCAAACTGAAGCTCCTGCACATAAACACAATAAAGACAGTCGGGGGACCAAGGGTCAGAAATACATTCTCGCTCAAAAGAAATATGGACTTCGATTGGCAAATATGAAAAATATGAAGTCAATATGGGAGGGGAAAGTTAACAGTTGGCAGCCTGCTCCATGTCATTGTGGTTCATCACTGTGCATAGGTTAATGATGAGATTACAGAGATCTCCTTAGAGAGACGCAATCACGAATATTTCATTTTCCAAGCATTGAAGAGAACACACAATAGCTAGAAAACAAGCTGCTTCTTTCTTACTATAATGATAACAGCACGTGTGACTGACGTCCCATCTATTCCTTAACAGCTGAATTAAACCTTCCACCAACATCTTCACACATACAGCGATAATCAATATCTTTAGGTTTTTAAAAACTATTTATTATAAATTCAAATTCTTTTGGTTTTTGTAAATATATCCATTTCATCATGTCCACCCAAATGCAATGTTGCATTCTCTGTAACTGTAAACAGCCAAGGTTTTGTCATCTGACTGCATAGATTGGTTTAACAAGATATTAAAAATAACCAGATAAATTAGCCGACCATGTCTATGCCATATGTGAGCAAAGTGAAGAGCACCACAGGCATTAATTAATAAACATAAAGGCCTCATTATAAGGTAACAAAACAGTAATCTTTATTAATGAAGTGATTATGCACTTATAAAAAAAACATTACTGTGATTATTGTTTTCTATGTCTTTCAACAGATCCCTATTATTTTTACACACTGTAGGCAGTAAGTCCCAAACAGTTAATGCAACTATTTTATCAAACTCCTTACATGTCGACGGTTTTACTTGAAATCCTCTGTGATGATGTCAAGAGCCAAAATTAGAAAAATTGTCCCCTGTCCAAAAACGTATGGAACAAACTGTATGTACTTGGAGCCTACACGGCAATGCAATTTTCCAAGCCCACACAGACAGACAAGCACCACTTCAATAGGTGATATTTGGCCTAGGTGACACTGTTCCTATGGGAGTTGAGGAGAAATCAGCATTTGACTAATTATCTAGCCTGAACAAGGCCATTGCTTGCACAGATCTCTAGCTCCAAGCACTGCATCATGACAGTCATAAGACACACACAAGGTCTTTGATACAGACTAAATAACTGCACACATACACCCATTTGCATATTTTGGGTTGTTTTTTTTTTGGTTTTGTACTCACCACACTGCTAGGATAGCAGCAGAGCCTACACTTGCTTTTTTCTTCCAAGAGAACTCAGTTAACATAACTCAGTATATGAACAGGAGAATCGTTCCCTCGCTATCCTTAAAAGCTCGTTGCAGTTTCTGCATACATGCGTACGCTAGAGTCTCTTTGGGTCCGAATGACATCGACGAGGATCTTTGTGGACAATCCGTGTGTCTGCCAATTCTTTGAAACCACACAATGGACCAACAACTACGCCTTTCAGGTGAAACCGAAGCAGGCTTCACTGAAATACAACAGGAATAACACTTGGCTTTGGGGTCCGCACTGTCCGTGTCCTTAGAGTGTAATCCTTTCCTTAGCCATTCCAGTAATGCGCACAACCACGGTCAGTTTTATTCGCAGCCAGCTAAATCTACACACGAACACATTACCTGCCTATCACCTCCTTTTGTGACCTGACTGAGGAAATTTAGTCAGTTTAAAGCACCAAGACCAGCCTACTTTTCACACCTACTCTGCGTGTTCCCTGGGGGTGAACTGAAACTTCCCTCTACATTGTATTTTCCTGAAATCTACCTCAGTTGCAGATATGTGAAGCTTGACTTCAGTGAGAGAGAGTAAGCGGGTAGGAAAGCTGTTATGTTCTACTTCCTTGTGGATTTTCTTCTTCTTTTTTTCCAACGTGGCTGGGAACCCTTATTTGTAAAGCACTTCAAACACAACACAGTTGATCCAAAGTGCTTTCAAGGCTCACAAAAGAAGAAAAAAAAAGGAAAAATGGAAAAGAAAATAATGGAGGTAAAAATGCAGACCGTAAAAGTATTAGCAGCAGTGATAGAGGCACATGGTTACACACAACACTAAGTTAAAAAAAAAATGAAGAAATCCAGCTACAAAACCAGAGCTACTTATCTGAAGTCAAAGGCTGAGGAGTAAACAAAAAGTAAATGCATGATTTAGATTTTTAAAATATATACTGGCAGTTATATAAACTAAACAATCATGTTTTGTCACTCATCTCTGATTAAATTTCACTTTGTCTGGTATTCATATTTTAAATTTGATTGGCTCTTGAGTGTCATTGCTGAGACTCAAGTTGCAGATTAGATTGTGTCTTTTTATACTAATCATTTATTTGCCTAACACAGGCGGACTTTTGTAGGAAGACTCTCCAGGAACAAAACAAAAACAATCACGTCATCGTCTCCTCGTTACTGGTACAAGCATATGCCTACAAGCTTGCAGAGCGCACATACAGCAAAGCAGGACGGAAACAGGGTGGCCACAGCAACACTTTACTTAGAGGAAGAAATGAGCCATCAATCCTTTCTGTGACACATAACCCCTACTGAGAGATTTAGTCGCATGAAAATTGCCAATTTCAACCCTTCATCCCAAGCAGTCACTCTCGTTTCCATTCTCAGTTTTCTTGTGACAGATGGAGCTAAGTGTAAGCAGTCAAAATACAAATATTGAAATGAATTTCTGAACTAGACATATGCAGATTGTCAACGGGTTTGATACATTCTGACACAACATTCATTTTAAGAAGTTAGCTGTTACAAAATAGCTACTGATAAAAAAAATAAAATGCACACAGCGCGCGAAGGTTACCAACAATACAGGCCGTTCTCTCATTCAAGCCCCAGGACTGAACACCATTCAGACCAACACGGCAAAACCAAAACTGGGGGTGGGTCCACTGCATGGGTCAACTCTCGTCAGTCACCCTCATCTCGACCATGGTTGAAAGAGGTTGGTACAGTACCCAGCACCGCAATCGAGAGGGAAAAAATTAATTAAACTAGCGTTTAAATGTCAAGTGGTTCACTGCAGATTGAACACGTGCTGCATCTGCAGTCTGGAGGTGGTATAAGTGATCACCAATGTGGCAGAGGGCTAGTTTATATAAGAAGAATTTTCAGAGGAAACAAGTAGTAAGAGTTAAGAGAAGGATACTGAATGCTAGTGACAACTGTGTGAGTCACAAGCAGAGAGAGAGAAAAAGGTGCAGTGATTCAAACAGAGCCCCATTCCTTCTGATACAAATCTTGAATTACTCTAGTGTGAGTATGGCACCTGTGCACAGGAAAGAGAACATAAGGTGACAGTGACATTTATAGGGGAGATAATTCATATGGACACACAAATATATTCATCAGCCACCTCGCTAAAACCCCACTGGACCACCTTTTGCTTTTAGAGCTGCCTTAATTCTTCACAGCATAGATTCAACAAGCTTTTGGAAACATTTCTCAAGAGATTTCAAGGAAATCCACATTGGCCTGATAGCTTCACACAGTTGCTGCTGATTTTTCGGTTGCACATCCATGATGCGAATCTCCTGTTTCACCACATCCCAAAAGTGCTCTGCTGGATTGAGATCTGGTGCCTGTGGAGGTCATTTGGGTATAGTGCCCATTATGGTACTGGAAGCAGCAATCAGTAGATGGGAACATTGTGGTCACAAAAAGATGGACAAAGCCAGAATATTCAGGTAGGCTGTGGCATTTAAACAATGCTCAGCTAGTACTAAAGGGCCCAAAATCTCCCACACATTTATGCACTCACCAGTAGTCTATACTCCAAATTCTGACACTATCATCTGAATATTGCAGTATAAATCGAGACTCATCAGGCAAGAAAACATTTTTCCAATTTGCTGTCCCAATTTTGGGCAACTTATAGCCTCAGTTTCCTCTTCTTAGCTGAAAGGAGCACCACCTGGTTTGATCATTTGCTGCAGTGGTGCATGCCCTTCAAGGTTTGATGTATTGTACGTTTATAGATCCTCATCAGCATATCTTGGTTGTAAAGAGTGTTAGAGTTAATTTGCCTTTCCCTTAGTTTGAAGCAGTTTGGTCATTTTCCTCAGCTGTGGCATCAAAAGCCATTTTCACCCAAAGAAATGATGCTGAGAAATCCCATTAGATCAGCAGTTTTGGACCAACCCAGCTAGCACCAATAACCAAGCCATGTTTAAGGTCAATTAAATCACCTTTACTCTGCATTCTAATTAAACTTTATCGGGTCATTTTTTACCACATATACATGCCTAAATGAACCGTATTGTTACCATGTGATGATGTGGCAAATTAGATATTAAATACTGCTAATAAGCAGGTAAAAAAGGTCTACCTCATAAAGAGCCTGGTGAGTCTGTATAAAACATCGAGGTGACAGGACCGTTCATATATTTAAAGAGCACACTCCCACTAGCAGTGATAGTCTGGGAGCATTGGGTCAAGGCCTGGCTTGATACAGTCAAATATAAATGAGACTAATACATAGACATATGTGCAATTTCATCCATGTATAAACCTAAATTACAAAACAATAATCTTGCATGGGTATAGCTTGAGTTATGAATGTTTTATGCTTCCTTTGGCAGATGCTTATGGATAAGACTCAAACATATGGTGAGAAACACGCACCAAACTGTTTTGTTTACTGCCTGAACGAAGAGTGATTTGAGAGATTTCCTGCTCCTGCAAATGTCACTCTTCTTGGCCCAGCAGTTCTATGCCTTCTTTCTCCTAAGCTCATAATCCAATTGTTTTATTTGGCAACGTGCGTCCTTCTCGAGTCCAGCAACTTCATCTCAGGCTGCAAAGTTTTTTATTATACATTGGCACGTGTAAGCAAAACAGACACAGTTGTGTCTTTTTAAATACTTCACACAAACTGGCTGCTCTTTAATCCCACTGATAAATTGGTCTATGATCTTGATCAGGCACAGCACAGAGAGACATCTGCTGCAGCCATAAGGCTGTCACTATTGATATTCAGAGTTTCTCCCAGCCTAT